CGATAGACTTCTCCGTGATGTTGCTGCTCCAGAGAATAGAGGCCAACCATTTGGAGGCTGTGAGGGTTTTTGGAGGGGATTGGTGCCAGTTTCTACCCGTATACCTGGAGCTTCCAAAATGGACACTATAAATGAGTCTTTCAAAGCAAGCTACGTTTGGAATGAACTTGAAGTTTATGTGCTCGATGAAGATATGAGACTTTGTGCAGGTGTGGATAGTCACGCTGCTTGGCTTCGAGCTGTCGGAGAGGGCACAAATTTGATTGTCAATGGAATGGAAGTGGAAATACCCATAAAAATGTGTATGGAAAGCGAAGATGAGGTCATTAGTTGTATGTACACTGAGGATATTGTTGCCAACCCTAAGCTTGTTGGGAGCTTGGCATTGTTAACTGTCAGGATTGCGGATGCTCTTGAGCTGAATGAAGTGGTGCTGAAGATGGCTCCGGAGAAGCTGTAGAGCTGTTTGGTATAGATAGCCCTGTAAGTGAAGAATAGGAAGGTACTGGAATGCCTTGCGATGACGAGAATTTTTGCATGATTTGAACCTTCTGGTATGCCTTCGTACAGATTGCTGCTGGAACCGGGCGCGATCGTTATGCTTCTGCAAAACATTGATATTATCGCAAGGCTTTGCAATGTACACGTTTGAAAGTGTTATCATCAGGTGTATTTCTCTGTTAACTAACGGCATTGTCTGCATCACTAGAATGCCCCTGGACTCTGCGGACGAGCACATGGTGTAGCATTTTGCAGATTCCCATTTCCAGTGAAGCTTTCATATTGCATAACTATCAGCAAAAGTCAAGGTCAAACCTTTGAGAAAGTAGGAATTATCATGCGTACTCCATCTTTCGCTCTTGGCAGTACATATGTGGCTTTGTCCAGAACTCGATCGAAGGAGCAAGTGAAAGTAGTTGTAAATTCACGGCGATCGATACAGCAGGCATTGCATGTCAGAAACTGTATCGAGAAATGATGTAGTGCATATTTAGAATATATCGGCCTAATGTAACTCGCCACATCTCACATCTGCAAGGCTCGACTTTAGGAGCTACGTTGCAAAGGGTAGACTTTTTGCCGGGCCTGATTTTGCGTCCCACTAAAACTCTCTGGTCTAAATTGACACAACAATAGGAAGTAGACGTGGAAGCAGAACCATTACTGGATGTCATAGATTAGATTTAAAAAGAAGTGCTGAAACACTTGTGCAGGACGTTGAGGCAATGCATAGGAGGATTTTGAGTGCATCCTAGTGTTCCTGCCCTTCATGGATATAACTCAGCAACGATGTATTTTCCGTCTCTATGTGACGTCCCGCTTTGTAGCGTATGTCCATGTAGCCGTCAGTGGGCACATCGTTTTTCTTTCATTGTTAGAAGAAGTGTGCTCACATCAATGGATTTCATTGAAATCAAATTTTTCTTATAGTAAGTATTGCGTATTTAGCTACACAATTGGCTCCGGATGTGAACGCTCAATGACAATTCATTGAAAATGAGTGAAAACGGAGATGTTCTCTGTCATGTCTGAAACGATCCTTTGTTATGTGTTATCCACTCGCCGTACCAAAAAGGATGCACTCTGCAGCGGTTGCTCCCTGTGAGCCGTATGACATTGTGATGACGGTGGACAAGATGTTTTCCGATGTTTGCGTAGATTACTGCCATTCTGTGAATTTGTCTAGGGTAAGATCTTTTCTCAGGCCAATGCAATCAGCAGTGGCGCTAAGGAGAAAGAAGATGAAAGATCTCTTTTCGTGTTAGAACGGCTTAGCAATAACGGCAGTTAGTTAAGTCTACTACTTAAGTCTTGTCTTCTCGAT